TCTCTCTCACGCGGTCTAGCTTATGAGTGTGAAGGGGACAATTAATGTTTTGCTTTTGTTAATGTTTATAAATATAGCGTGGTCTTATTTTTATTATTGTTTTAATACATTATTATTGTCTAATTGTAACTGCATAAGTTGATAAAAAATGCTTTGCAATAGCTTTACCGCGACAGTCCCCGAGTGCCACACATCACAATTAATAGTAATCATAAATGCCGGTGCGTTCCGTACGATTTTAACGATATTTCAATATGCGCCTTTTTCAAACCTATTCATTCAGTGGTAGCCTAAGGGGCTATTTCGGCTACGCGCGGACGGGGTGGCGCCTATTGTAAAGCACGCAACGGTTTGCGGCGGTAGCAAGAGCTTAATAACATTGGGTACCCAGTATAATATACAATTTCTATGAAATAAAATATTTGACTGTATTTAAAAGTACTCAATTCCGGGTTTCTACAACTCGGCGGCAATGCGTCAATCTGCGAAGAGATCAAAAGGAAACAAAATAACAAAATAACTGAACTGATAAGAGACCGAGCAAAAGACTTTGGTATACCGATATCGTCGGCACTATTAGAGAGCTGATCGAGTTCTTGGAGGAGTGGGGGTGGCAAGAAGGAGGTTCCCACCAAGACGCAGAATTTTTGCTGTCGAGTTGTAGAAACCAGCCTTTTACCATTTTCGGTGAAACACTATAATTATCTAAGTAAAGGTATTGATTTCTACTGCTGTAAAAGCAAACAGTACTATCAAGGAAAAGAGAAGCGCGTAAAATAATACCTAAGCACGATATGTCTCAATGAATATCTCTCTTTGTGCTAAATAGACGCGATACATATAAAACACGTCAAGGCAACGTGAAGTAAAATTCACAGGGAAGCAATTGTAACCCTACAGTGATGAATACAAGCGAGCTAGAAGCAGCTAGCTGTGTGGTACGAAATTTAATCTACCCCCTGTCTGCCACCCAAGTCTCCCCGCAGCGTTACCCTCTGTACTACACCTAATAACTTATCCCAGACTCCATAATTTATCGAAGTTATCGCGTTTCTGATAGCTTCCATTATATAATGACCGAACACAACTATGTACGTTGTTTGATTTGATTGAGGTTACTATGTGACTGTAAACACGACTTCTAAAGTATATAGGCACGGCATTGCGCGGCGGTCGAACCACCCGATACGTAAGTACGTACTAGGTACGGCAGCTATGTCCTAGTACTAGCTACATAAGGACCGGGTGGAGGCGCGCCTCGAAGTACACCGTTAGAAACCAGATAAAAACACGTTACATGCATACAGACTTCGGGAACAAAAACACTCGGCTCGACCATTGTTATCTAACCGGTTCGCGCCGGCAGTTCGGAATATAATAAAATATATAGTTTTAACAACGAGTCTTTAAAATGTGTATATAATTTTATATTGAGAAAATTGCCGAACTAAGTATACGACGATATTAAGTCTGTTGACAAAAATACGGAATTCTACTGTTCGTAGTGGGAAAACTACTACCTTTTTTTTTTTTTTTTTTTTAACGCTGGGGAATCCATTTACGGATACCCGGTCGAGGGGGGTAACGGACCGGGTTATGTCGGACTCCGGCGCCTCCTGAGAGGAAGAAGGGGAGAAGAGAAGAGCCGAGGTCCTTCACCTCCCCCAATTTCTCACAGGAGACTACGCCTTGAAAAAGGCGCGCGAAGCACTTGCCCCGCAGAACGACTACCGACTAAACCCCATCGAGCCCCACCACTCCGACTCCACGAAACCCACGGTACCGCACAGTGCGCGCCGAAGGGGAAAACTACTACCTACCTATTTGTGGAGTGAAATAATTTTGATTTTTTTTCTGTCTCATAAACTATTTAACCGCAAATAGTAATAAATTTATTCAGAAATATACCATTACTAGTATATTAAAGTGTGTACATAAAAAAAAATTGTCAATGTTCAAGACTATCGTTACCAATACCGATAGGGAAGAAGAGACAAAATATTCCCTCTCAATCTTAAACAATGACTTTACTATTTTGTATCTAGGAGCTATAGCCAATTAAATTTTTGATATGTACATTATTAGATTACAAACAGTACATTTCGTTATATATTAACTCTTCTTAAGCCTTTCGCATTAATAAACATGTCAATCGACTACCCTCAATGTTAATTCTATAGTTATAATGAGCTGCTATTGAAATTCATTTTTAGCCCTCTGAGTACTTGATGAATCTTTTTACAATTTCTGCCGTAAAATAGTTGTGGATCTGTAGAGTTGTGAATATTCTAAAAGTAAAAACTGTTTTTAACACACTATTTGGTTAAGACCTTCAACCTCAAGCTTAAGGGCAGCGAAATTCAATTTCACGTACCAATTAACATCAAGTGGGCAGTGATTTTTTATATGCAAAAATGGTAACAAAGAAATCAATGTTAGTTCTATAATTCATATATAAATGATATAAGATATCATATCAAGATAACAATAATAGGTGCGTTTATTTTTAAAACTTTCTTTGACTTAGTTTTGATGTTCTAGATTTATCCAAAACGTTTTGGACGAAAGCAAACTTATTTGAGGACAATGTGTTCTTGAATGAATGAAACACATTGCCATAGTTCAACGACACTATTATTTAAAACGAACTAGTGCGCCGTCAACAATCTCTAACATTTAGTCATGAAATAAGAAAAACCTAATAATATCTACATTTTTTCTTTATCCTACGAAATTACAGGGGAGAGTGAGAACGCGCTATGGTAGCGTCGCTTTCGCTCTTTACGAAAACCTCCTGAAAATATCTATTGATTATCGTACACATGCCTCTTGGTTCGTATAGCCGACACCTCGCCCTGCCATGTCGGCAGCCGTAAAGTGCCAATTTATTTGAAGAACGCTTGTTGTACAACTCTAATGTAGTGACGATCTCGGACGTCACAACCACCTACGTGTATTGTTCGGAATATTTGCAGCTTAGTACTAGTAGATGCTACACTAAAATAGATTTAGCTGATTACCTTACGCACATCGATCGGGAAGGTATTTGTGTAAACAAAAACGTAAGGTAATGACGCTTACAAAACTTCGGGCTATTTCCAAAAATTTAATACTTTTCTGTTCACGGCAAAAAATTACTACTGCTACCTGTTTTAAAATTTATTTTTAAGGGGACATAATTCAGATGTGTACAGACATGTTTGTATGATACGAATTTGAATCAATGTAACTGAAGTAACTCCAGTAGGTAGGTATGCATGGTATACATTTTAGTACCTATACTGTTATATCGGTCGAGACCTGTCGAGTTGGCCCAAGAGCAAAAGGTTGTGAACCTGGGTTGCTGTCTTAATTAGAAACATCGAATGCAGTTTTTACATAACATTTATAAAAATGTAAGTAAAGCTTTTTCATTTGAAATATACCAGTGTTGCTCGTGGCTGACTTATATACTATGACGGAGAAGCTGGTTCCATGGTGTTTTTAAAATGATGACATCAGCGTTGCTGACACCATTCTCTTCATCATTCTCCTTGTCTTCCATAGTAACAGTGACTAACACTCACTTTTCTAATGAATTCCATTTATTACATTTCAATTGTACAGCGATAACAACAAAGAGCTCCCCTCCGTTCGGCTGCTCGAGTCGGAATGTTTTGTGAAAAATTTTTTCCTGCCTAAGTTGATAGCCTTGATAGGTTATGTCAGCATAACCTAACAATTAGGTGAACTCACGGGGCTCAGACCTGACCTGACTCAGACAGATTGCTAACACTAACCACACCAAGAGCAGTGCTTCGCAGAATTTACCACTAGATTGGAAACGCGACCCACTGAGAAGATCCGACGAGAAACTCAATGGGCTGTGTCTGTGGGTTAATTGACTCGCCGAGCCCTTCGTCGCAAGCGACGGGTTCGACAAGAACGATGACTGGTACTTGAGGTACCTAAAAGCACCTGTTTTGTGCGACAATAGTCACTCATATTTATAGTAGAAAGTGGTGGTAGCTTAGTCATGAATTCTCTTGAACACAATCTTAAACAGTTGTTGACATACGCAACATTAAGGAAACAGTTAACTTTAACTATTTTTAGTTAACTAAATAGTGACGTTGCGCCTTCATACTCGTATAGGTTTGAAAAATGAATTGTAAAATATTAGATTAATTAAAAGAGTCTTAATCTCGGCTGGCGTTAAGTAATTACCAGACGCGTATAAATCACAACGTCCATAATTACTTGGAATTAGGTACATCTCTTCGTCATACATGAAAGCATAAATGCTTCGCGGAAGAAATAAATAGATGTCCGCAGAGTGACACGGACACTTTATGTGACAATTTTAGTTGTAGGTCCGCTGGTGTTAAGTATTCGAAGGTGTTCACAGATTTGACAACAGGAATACCATAGAAGTTTCGGCTTTATTTTGCAATAACTGTTAAAGTATACTTTATATTTCTATGATGGTCGTAGCGGATCTATAATTAAAAATCACAAACTTTCATATTCAATTAGAACCGTAGTGAAGTGAGCTCTTGTTTTGAGAATATGTATTCAGATTAGAAGCTCTAAGGCTGACGCGTCTCTAAATTATCATTTCATATTATTAATTCAATTTAATGCTAATGTAAATTCACGTAAAATTTTATAAATAAAAAATTAAAAGGCATGTAAATTATTAAAACGATTTAATATGAAACAAAACTTATATTTTATGTAAGTAGCTTGGTTTATTAATTTTAATTTATGACAAAAAATTCTGAAACTAATAAATGCGACTTAATACGTTTTCTTATTCGTCTCATATAATTAGATCATACAGAGAACGGTGCTTTAGGTAGTAAAACAAGAACGCCCACAAAAAAATACAAGCTAGAAAGAAAAAAGGAAAAGTACGGGACTTTGAATACAAAGAATGGTATCACTGCCTATACAATAAACGAAACGCGCCTGCGCGAGCTCCGCGGGCAATCGCGGTGCGGAGGGTCGCAAGGCCGGGGAACGGTGTGCGGGGAGGGGCAACGTCACGTCGAACAACGCATGCCATAACGCTGCCAAGTTAAGAAGGTCTCTATGCGCGCATCGTTCAAGCTCAAAATATGGTTTTACTATATCGTCGGTTAAAAACTTGCCTGCGTCGCTCGAGTCGTCCAACGCGATTACGCGAGGTGAGAACTGAGTGATCGTTGCATTGTAGTAAAAGTGGCCTCTACGAGAGTATTTTATCTTCGTTCTGTTTAACTATTTTATTATTTATCACAATTATTTAGAAAAAGTGATTTAGTGACTTTACGTTTATTATTATCTAAAGTAAACTTATATCAAGAACGATGCTGTCAAATAAGTTAAAAAACAAATAGGGTTAAAACACAACGACTGGCTAAAAGAAGTGATTAACAATGAACCTTAATGCTGTTGTTTGTTGAAGTGTATTTTGCGTGGCATTTTCGTTCACAGTGACCAAATTGAAATAAATTATGTCCAGTTTCTTTATTATTAAAGTACTGATGAATTCAACGGAAAGGTGATAGTAAGCGTGTTGATCTGTGATTACGATGGATTGGAAAATTCGACCGCAGACCTACGAATATCAGCAGTGAAGTCAGTCGAGGCCACAGCCTTTTGAAATAGGTACCGGTTTTGAATTATTATTTTGTTTGATTATAATGTAACTCTGTCCGATCAAACGCAAGTGCCGTGCATGGTATCATTCACAACGACACACCGCCTATTTTTTCTTACAAACTTAAAGAACTTCCACTCATAGAGAATAATCCGAAAGAAGACATTGCTAGCTATAGTTTTTTTTTTATAACAATCATTTTTGTATTCCAGAAATGGACATCAAGATTTCCGAGCCCGTTCTAGAGGATATAGGATCTGCTAGTCAAGATGAATCGAAACTATTTGAAAAAAACTTTAGACAAACGAGTTCAAAAACAGAAAAAATTCCGGTGCTTAGAGACGAAAAAAGCTGTGACAGTGATACTCATAGTGAGGACCTTAGTTCTAACGATGAACAAAATAATGCAAACGGTAACTCTCATTTTTATGAGAGCAGTGACAGTAAAATAGACTATGCGGTAAAAATAGATGACAATGATACGTTAAGTGACATTGATGATATAAAAACGGATAGTGCATCTGCAGATAGTGAAGATTCAGCACTTGGCAGTCTACCTCCAGACACCGCTCCCAATGAAAGAGAAGAAGAGATTCAAGATAGATCAGAAGGTAGTGACTCAGGGTTTGGATCCGAAGCAATCGTAGATGCTAATCTACCTTGCTTTGATCTTTCACTTCCTTGCTCAAAAGAAGATAACAACGCAGATAACAAAAAAGAAACTGGCTCTATCGATAATAATGATGAAGAATTAAATAATACTACTGCCAAATTATCTCAGCCATGTTCACCTCTCAGAAGCAGCCTCAAAAGAAAACACAACAATGAGAATTCTGATGAACCTCAAACTAAAAAAAGAAAAGAAGGCATTAGATTCGACAATGTTACAGTATTTTATTTTCCGAGAGCTCAAGGATTTTCTTGTGTGCCATCACAGGGTGGTTCCACGTTAGGAATGGAATGGGAACATTCTCATATCCAAAAGTTTACATTGGCGGAACACGCTTTAGAACAAAGAAGACTGCATAGACAGATTTTGCAACAGTTGAAAAGTGAGCGAAATTCCTTGAAGGGTGACTTGCTTTCTTCAAGTGAAGACAGTGACACAGAAGAGGAAGCAAGTGATATATCTGAGTCAGAATTAGATTTAGATAATTACTATTTCCTACAACCTGTTCCAACAAGACAAAGACGAGCCCTTTTACGTGCAGCAGGTGTCAGGAAAATAGAGGGTTACGAAAAGGACGAATGTAGAGACATCAGGACGTCAAGAGAATTTTGTGGTTGTGCTTGTAAAGGATCATGTAATCCTGAGAATTGTTCGTGTAGCTTAGCCGGCATAAAGTGTCAAGTAGACAGGTTGAATTTTCCTTGTGGATGTACTAGAGACGGTTGTGGCAATACTACAGGACGTATCGAATTTAATCCAGTAAGAGTGAGGACACACTTCATTCAGACCCTCATGAGAATAGGTCTGGAAAAGAAAAATGAAGAGAATAAAGAAGCCGCCAAAAAGCAATGGCAACATACAACAGATACACATAGCACAAACGGGTGCTTAACAAATCATCTTTACGAAAGGGAACGTTGTCTAAGACAAGAAGACGGCTTACTACGTGATGTTAATCTGACACCAAGAATAGAAGTCGAGTCATGTGTGAATTCTGGGAACTACAATAATGTTCACTGCAATAACACACAAAGAAATATGCAAGATGGTTTATCTTTTAATTACAGCAATCATAACTGCAATCCTGGAAGCATTCATGAAAATGGCATAATTAGCTATGAAAGTAGTAATCCTCATCATCAGCATCATCACGCGGATGCATACACGTCGAACATAATACAAGGAAAGGGCCCACCTTACTCCGCTACGAATCCTATGGGATTCGATACGACTTCAAACATACACAGGTTTCCTTGTGATATGAATTATGCATATGATCAACACACAGCAGAAACACATCACTTCAAAGGATTACAAAGTTTTTCAGCTTCTAGTTTCGAGGAGTTCGCGCATAATTCACAAATGACGATGTTCAGCCATTACGGGCACATGTATGTACCGGATTATTTGCACAAACAAAACCACAACATGCACGATTATAATCAAGCCGCATATCACGGAATGGGCCAGAATAACTACGAAATGTACAAAACTGGTACGGAAAATGTAAGCGCCGAAAGTAAAACCGATTCTCATTATACTACTTTAACAACAATGCCATATCAATCTAATAATAAGTTGCAAACTGTAGATAACGATCAGAACTGGTTCAGCCAGAATACGTTACTTAACCTGGATCAATCTGACCAAACCACTCAGGATGCTTCAGACACCAGATCTCAGGCTCCGGAGCCCCCCGCTGAAAGCAATACTACCGAGACTGCCGATAATTTTGGAGAACTTATAAAAAAAACAATGGTAGAATCTGTTACTGTGTAGATAAAATACTTGTTGTCTTATTCGTCTTACTGATTTATCGTGTTATTGAAATTTTGACTATATTAATAATTGATAACTATACCTAGTATTTTTTTTATTTTTGTTTATAAACACCAAACCTTATTGTATTTTTTCCACAATCTACTTATGTCCAAATAGCACGCCAAAAAAAGGCAAAATGTATTGACTTCAATTTCGTTACGATATTTAAAACATACCATTGGAGATTTTATAAGTTTTAACACAAATAATTATCCTGCTAATGTTTAACTGAACAACAAATGTAGCAGAGATTATTTAATGGTATAGAATATAGATGAACAAGCGTACTCACGCCCACACCATCTAGTGTATATCGGAATCCATACACATAAAGACATCAATGCCTTTAAATCAACTCTAGTTTTGATTAAGTTCACTTTCCACAATACACAAATTCTAACTAGGATATTAGTCCCGGTCTGAAGGCCAGACATTTACATGCAAGACAAGAGTAAGTACAGTAAGGCGCCGAGTACTACATATTATTATATATATACTATATAATATAGTAATGAAACGGCACCGACTGAAAACTGGGCGATGTGCTGCAACATGAAAACAAAAGCAAAAGGGGTGATAGCAAATTGTTTCAGAGTTGTTTTTAGAGTTCTGTGAACTCCACCCGCTTTGAGACATTTGAGAAGTTTTAATAATAGGAAATTGATTTCTTAGTTCACCTTCAGGGTCGTGGATAAAGATAAAGCGTAAGTTGAAGATAGTGTTTTCGAGGTCAATCTTGTTTTCCCTCTTGTTGTTTGTCTTTATTTATTCCATGCAACACTTATTTTGAAGTATTTATAGGTCTGTAATCGGGGAGATTCACTGCATTTATTTATATCCGAGCAGATTCATTAGGCACCTCTGAATACAAATTTCCGGGACTAGCTGTATTAAAAATAATTTATGTAGGTATATAATAATGTATAAATTTGGGAGACAGATTTTCTTTCCACTGGATTCAAAGAAGCATAAATTAGTTTTTTCCTGAGAATTTTGGGGAGTGAACATGTCTTAGTTTTGATTCGTGGGCGACTTTTTAATTAGTTTTTTTTTTGGGTGTATACACTGTACGTGTACAAATCGTGATATTATCACCCACAATGAAATTCAGTTGACACGTGTGTTCAACTGTTTCGTGTCACACTGGGGCCCAAAAAGCCTTTGCTTTAGTTAAATTGTCAAAATAGGAACTTTAAAATCACAAAGAGCTAATTTTTTTCTATTAAAATTTGGGCCTAGGCAGAATATGATATTGTATTTTCTACGAATTTCACGAGTCGCAGACTACTTTTACGATTTTATCTCAGCTTTTTACGCGAACCGCAAACCGTGACATGTCAGAAATAATAATAATAATATAATGACAATAAAAAACGCAAGATAAAACCATAGAAGTAGCTTTAGATGTAAATATGATTCCATTTTCGACTTTGTTAACGATTCTCTTACACCGTATTCAAAACCCTCAAATATTATATTATCTTTATATCATATTATCTTTTGATTCGAATAGTGAAAATAAAAATTACTGATTAAAAGGAAATAATACTGATTGACAGATATATCAGGGTTCGCTTAATGTAAAGTTACTCTTACCGTTCCTCAAAATGCACAGGGAATTCTGTTGCTGAGCTTTAGACCTAAGGTGGAATTTTCATATAGTAACAGCTTACCATTTAGCTTGAATGGAACTTACGAATGTTTCCAAAAAACTAAATACGTTTTTAACACGTAATTACGAACTACGACCTCTTGTCTTAAGGTACCTACCAAGTGACCTGGTGCTCAAGCTGGTAAGGTAAACACTTTAAATCATGTAAACTTTGAAGGCGTCAACCAACGACGTTGAATTTTGGATATCAATGAACATTCTTATTGAAAGTAAAACTAAACATCGACTCCAAGAAGAGTCTCAGTCCTGAGTGAAACTGTCGAAGCAAACTCAACCGGCACTTCCTTTTTATATTTATGTATATACCTATTGTGCGACAGACCAATACTTCGATAAATAACACAAACAACAAATGCACAACCGTCGCCAGAAGCTGTAATGGTAGTACTCTTCAAACAATTCTATTGGTGTAGCTATTTCGCACACTTGAAACTTAAGAGAATGGAAGACTAAAATTATTCCAATCCGTGCCGCAATCTCGGCAAACAGTAAAAGCCACCCAGTGACTACAAAAATATAAATTTGCATACCTACTTATTTTTGAACACAATGCTTTGCGACTCAAGTATTGTTGAAGAAAATACTGCTGATACATGGGCTGGCTTTTATTTATATTTTATTTTACTTTTCGAATAAAATAAAATGAGTTTGAATAAAACTTATAGTCAAATTAATTTGATTAGATTCAGGATTTGTAGGTACTCTCAACAAATAAGTACACAAGTTTTTAAATAATAAGCAACTATAGGTAAACTGTTCTATAATTTGTGATACTTCTTATGCAGCTCCCCGGTTTTGCTAATGCCTAAAATCGATAGGTAGAGTCAACAAACTGCATTACGATTTTCTGCAATATGGGAGCGAAGATACAGAAGGGGTAGTTTTTCTAATATGGCACAATCACGAATAAAAAAAATGTTCTTGAAATAATAATACTTTAATACCCGTGTCGACGTGGAAAATAGGTAGGTTTAACAAGCCCCACACGCAGTCGTCGCCTGCCCGCCCCCCGGGGACTACAACAATAGCGCGTCTGAGCCATGTCGTACATGAAATGCGTATTTCTTTTTATTTTCATTTTCACTTGGGTGCTCATACACTTGTAATGCTGAAGGCAATTAATTTGGCATTTATGAATACGTGTTTACGGTTTTCATTTATAGATTTCGTGTCAAAGATATGACGATGAGTACCTATACCTTTTGATAACTATTCCATAATTTATCTTAACATCGAAAATAATTACATGTATAAAAGGATCGGATAGGTATATCGAGCTTTCGTTGACGTAATTAACAGTTTTATAAAAAAAAAAAAAAAAACGTAATTAACAGACGAAAAAAACAATTAAGTATTTTTTTTACTGGTATGTATTTTGAGCCCGCACCATTAATATCTTCCCGTTTGAAGGATTGAACAGCCGGTACCGGTAAAATGGGGCGATTAGGGATTGAGAGGCGAATCGGGAAAAAACCGGGAAAATCTTTCGACGCTCAATATAAGTTTTATATTCGTTGCAAAATCTTCCGTGTTTTGTAGTTTAATAGTAGAATGTTGAAAGTTCACAAAACAAATCTGAATATGCATGATAATAGCTGCTAACTTATAAAAAATCGCGTTTCAAATTAACTTCCTGTGGTGGTAATTATTTTAGTGCTAGAAACTTTGCTCTCTTTTATTTATTTGATAATAATAGAAGACGACTATGATTTATAAACGTTGTTTAGTGTTTGAACCAGCATATATATTAAAGTTAAGTCTCAGTTGTTATTGGTTTTAAAGTATTTGATTAAATAAAAATACATGTAAAAATCTGTTGTTTTTGGGGATATTGGGGACGTCTTAGGTACAAATAACAACGAAAAAGGGGTCAATTGGGATGAGAATACGTGAAATGGAAACGACCTAAGTATAAATAGGTACAGGTTTGTAGGGTTGTCTATGTAGTTATAACAATATTTTTTAAATTTGTTGGTAAAAATCTGGTTTATTCGAAGCGAAATTGGGAATAAGTCTTTAGTTGAAATAGATAAGCAATTTAATATAAGTAAGTCGATTTTGCAGAGACATGTAACAAGATCAATGAAATCTCAAGGTGGACAAAAATGTCTAAGTAATACATAATAAAATATTTAATATTTGTTCAGAGTGGGGGTATTCATCTGATTAATCCATGGAATAACCGACACACCTAATCTCTTAACCCAGATAGAAATATCAGCACTGTCGATTGCACCTATAATTGAGGTGATGTCTGCCATGTACTTTTGTCAGTTTTTCAATTTTTTTTATTGATGATCACTTTGTTGGTGCAACTAAATAAATAAATAAATTAAAACTATATATAAAAATAAAAGTAGTGCCAACCCTAGCAAATTTCTCATTTCGTCCCAATTAACCGCAATTTTCGGGTAAATAGGGATTACACCTATTTTTGCATTTTTTGCTTAAACTGGAATGCTAGTTGCATAATTTTAAATTAGACAACAAAGATGCCCCCAAGACTCAACCATTTTGATCCTGATATAGCATTATATACATCAACAACTACCTTAAAATTGCTCATAAAGTTGGAATTTGTCCCTAATCGCCCCATTTTACGGTACCTATATATTAATTAAAACTTCTTTTAATCTCGTTTTTTATAGTCCAGATATTATTTCAGACGTTACGAAAACTTTTGTGTTCGTGGTCACGGACGACTTCGACTCAGAGTCGTGGAATGAAAACGCGGGATTATACCGTAAAAGTCGTTCTCGTAGTGCTCTCGAAAACCGAAGAAATTACAATAGATACTATGTTATAAAATTGAGAGAGCTCACTGAGTTTCTCGCCGGATCTTCTCAGATCCGAGGGTAGTCTGCAAAGCACTGCTCTTACTAGGTCTAGTGTTATCAAATTATTTCAGATTGAGCCCGTGAGCTCTCCTATTCTTCCAGGCATAGATGGAATAACCCCTTAGACTACCAGCGAATAGTTAAGGAAAAAAATGTCCTCATACCTCAATGGAGGGTGGCGACATTTACCTATTATCTTCTTGCTTCGGTAACAACTTAATGAAAAATGCGATGTAGGTCTTGCCACCTGCACAGTAATAGAAAATAGCAACAGTACGACTTACCAGCCAAACCAACGAGGAACTGTACCTTTCTTACTCTAATTGCGAACTATCTTACATTAAGATGAGCCTGTAGAAGCTCCATCATGAATACTGCTACCAACGTTGTGACTTAAGTCAAATGCTTGGTGCAATTGCTGTCTTACCCTACAAATCAGAACCCGCTACGCACCAGAAATGGTTGGTAACTATAAAATATTTACTATTTAAAGCAAGTATTCACAAGCGCTTTTTAGTCGTCGTAATATTACCACCGACTCAAAATAGATGTATACCAATGGGAGGATCAAGCAAAAAGAACACATGGCTTGCTTTTTCCAAATATATTAATATTACATTGAATAGAAAATTGAAAAGTCGATAGAATAAAGGCGAGTTGAGCTGGAAGAAATAAGTCTGCAAAACCAATTAACTGACAGTTAATGTCTATTAATAATTACTAATAGACTAACTATTACTAAGATACTATTAATAGGAAGCGAGAAGTAGGTAACGAAGCGAGGATACCTACTACTCGTAGTAGTAGATAGATTATACGAAAGTAATAGCTAGAGCCGTGTACTTTTGACCAAAATGGAGTCATGAAACGGTTTTTGAAGATAAGTACTCCGTTTTATTTATTTTTAGACTTCACTTTCATCGCACATTATAAATCATATTGTCAATTCAACAAGCTTCATAAACACGGAAATATTTTAAATGTAGTTCCGATAACTAACGTTTGATTAAATGCATTTATTTCCTGTTATCAATACCAAAGCAATGTACACAAGAATTATTGTATTCTGAGTCTAATCATTCTCTACTCATAAAATACTTTTTTTCAATTAAATAAACGTCCTCTTATTATTAACATTTTATTAAAATACGAGTAATTTTAAAATAATTACATCACATGTGCAAAATGTCTACAAACCACACCCATAATTATTATACAATTAGGAGACAATAACTCTCATTTATTTTTATAACATTTAGTTGGAAGGGTGCTGTAGCCTGAAATATAAATTAAGTCTTAGAAATAAAAAAAATGTAAATTTAATTATAAATAAATTATTACCGTACCTTAAATCTAACACATCGATAATACTAGGAAAATCACAATTTACATTTAACGTTTTTATTTTAATCGATTCTATTCAATTACCTGTAATGTACACTTAAAATCAAATGACGATGTCGAAAGAGCGCGGAGGACAGGCCTAAGCGGAATTCGCTTTGTATTGATGAAATCACTAAAACGAAAAGTAGCGTTGCCTAGTTTAGCAATAAAATAATGTTTTCCGCATTCTATAGTTTAGTTTGTATATGTACTCAGTTTATTCTCTGTTTTGCTTTCAAATAAACTGAAAGCATAGTGGCACACTTTATGTTTAGTACTTTGTCAACTAAGTTTCTATTTAGATATATTTTTAACGTTAAAGTAGAACCCTCACGTTATTTAATTTTTTCTCCTACCTACGCCAAAAGTTCAGTTTTCCTCCCGCTGTACAGGGAAGAAAGTCTAACTTTTCCTCCCGCTGTACATGGGAGAAAGTGTAACTTTTCCTCCCACTGTACAGGGGAGAAAGTGTAACTGTTCCTCTCTGGGTACTGACAAGTGCGCATGCGCGTTAGTGTCTACGTCTGCTCTCACGCACCTAAAATTCTCCGCCATTGTTGTGCTCGGGTAATTTGCAATATTGTGTTTAGTGTAAAAGTGAAATAAACAAAAGGCAATAAAATAGTGAAGTATTAAACAAAGATGAGTTCATCAGACAGTTCCTATTCAATTAGTTTAGTTCAGTAGTTTATTTAAAAATTAAAAAACAGTAAAATGGTTTTTTTACGAGAATGGGGGCTCCGCCCCCCTACCCCCACCAGGGCTTCGCCCCAGAACCCCACCGGGGCTTCGCTGGTGCTCCACGAACTTTCGGCCCGGTAGGAGAAAAAATAGTATGTGCACCGCGGGAGAAAAGTAGGACATTTCCTCCCGCGTGCCAGCAAGTAAAGTAAAATTGCCAGCAAGCACGCGGGATGAACGCAAATGTACACATCACATGATGGATGAACACAACACAATGTGCTATTGTTTATGGCGATGGCTTCAAGAACATCATTTCGGCTATTAACACATCTGCTCGTGTAGAATAAAGTTTATCCATACGCAGAAAAACTAAGTGATCATTCTATAAGAAAAAGTTGAATCTGAAATCCGGGGTATCAGTAAATGCATTTGAAGTGTATCCGGGCTAACATGTAGTAGTGGTAGTAGGCCACGATTACGAGGCAGATTCAAATAAGTACTTATTACTTAAAGTAAGAATTACATTCTCGTCTGTACATATTTTTACCTTATCGATTGAACAAAAAATTGTACGTCACTGTGTAAAAACGATGCGGTCCACGTCTAAATAAAACGACAGGTACCTACCTATAAGTTAAGGTTTTTAGATGCATTGTTATTATAAAAATAAGTTTCGCTTGGATCTAATCTTACTACGCGTATTTTTTTTATTGCTTTTGTAGGCAGACAAGCATACGGCCCACCTGATGGTAAGTGGTCACCGTCACTCATGGACGTCAGCATTGCCAGGGGCAGAGCCAAGCCGCTACCTACCATAAATACCTACCTCGTATACTATAAATATGAAAGGTTAGAGGTAAACAAAGCACAAGGTCGAAAAATTCCATCCTTGACGTTATCTACTATTTCTAAATAAATGAAAGAAACATTTTGAAATCAAAAATTCCTTGTGTTGAAATTGTAATTACATCACATTGGCCTTGAAATCACAGTCAGCGTTATATTATCTGTTTATACATTGCCACGACGTTAAAGATTTATCAAAAGCATAAAATTCAAGATCTATAATATGAAGGGTGACAGTGATAAGTAATACGATTTGATTCAAAATCTTTTTTTTTTTTGGATTGAAGTGTTACTGGTGGCCCGGGGGCCGTTCCAGTTTCACCAGGACAGGTGGGCGAGCAAAGTCTCAGCCAGGAGGGGTGCGATTTGCTAACAACTGCCCAAACGCCTTCGAAGGAGACCTAACAACTCAAGAGCAGCTTCTTCGTGAATGAACAATGATTCGAATTCAAAATCGAACCTTTGACCTCATATTTCATAGAGGGTGGCAGCATTTACATCTATGATCTCCTCTAACCAGATAGGGCACGACTTCATTTTCGCCTTAATAATTTTATTTAACTTTAAACTACACAATTATGACTTCCATTTAAATTTATATAATATCTATAAATTAGGTATAAATTATCATTATATCATATTTTTTTAAGTGAAAATCAATAAGACTGTGTCGTCACCACCACAGGAACTAAATTAGGACGCTCGCTTTGAAACATAGGGTTAAAATTTCAGACGGTAATTGGCGGGCCAGTTTTGTCTACGCTTGTACATAACGTTTCCTATCGCCTAATTTACCAAGTATACTGCATTCGATTTCTAATCAGGTACCCATATATACAGTTAACAGCAAATGATTGAAGTGTGGAAAACGCTTCCCGCGTTTGTCGAAGGCTGACGTTCCGGCAGTTGAGTATGAATGGTGAGACATTGCTTGCGTATCACGAATTCTATTTCCACTATTACAAATACAGATTATTCACAATACACAAATTCCAGTGCACTCTTAACGTTTAGTAAGATCAATGCACAAAACACATCAGTTTCCTGTTTCCAAGTCGAGCTGACGGTTGATAACAAAATACAGACGGTATTTGTTTCACGGGCCCGATGCAGCCAATACCATCCTGCCTCTCACAGCCGCGAACTATTCATGAACTCCGGTTTCAAAGACTGCCCCCTCCACCAACCGCATTCATTGAATTCATTGAAAGTTACCCACTGAGTTTCACGCCGGATCTTATTTTATTGTTGTTTTAATATTAAATTATTATTGTCGATTTATAATTGCATAAGTTGACAAAAAATGCTATGCAATAGCTTTACCGCGGCAGTCTCCGAGTGCCACACGTAGTTTTTTTATATCACCATTGAATAAAATGTCAAAGTACGTACTCAAGAAACACCTTGGAGAGAAATTACCAAATCTAGCTCTGACTGAGTGATAACTGAGGCAGATATCTATGAATTCGGAATCAGCAACTGACTAGGGATCGCATTGAATCCAGAAAACCAACCAGATGTTTTTTAAATTCCAATTCGTTATAGATAATCGTGCCGATAGACTTAAACAACAACCACTGACAGAAACATCATAAAAAAGACACAAAAAACTTATTCATTATTTATTTAATTCGTATTTCTAAATATACCTATTAAATACATCAAAATATCACATATTTAGTCTTAATTAAAATAAGATCAGATTGAAAAAATAATAATACTGAACAAAAAAAAAACAAATTGATCGTCAAGACGCTTGTGTTAACTTCCACACTTTAACTGTTCTATCTTCACTGGCTGTTAACAATGTGTTCGAGGCCTCATCGAAATAAATATCGTTTATTGATCCTGTAACAAATAATTGACATTCAGATTATTGCAGAAGATTTTACATGAAATTGGTATATAAGTCAGTTATACCACTCATCATCCAAAAATAGTACTGGTCAATTTAAAATAAATCAAATTAATTCATACACTACGCCACTAGTAACGAATACGATACGCAAGTGCTCTGAGGAATTGTTCGAGATGATACCGTCATCTCGTTTTTACCATCGCACCGCCCGCCACCGGAGTAGAGTTCATCCATACTACCTGGAGCCACTGCGGTCATCCACAGTGCGTTTCCAGAAGTCTTTCTTGCCACATACCATCCGGCTATGGAATGAGCTCACGGTGTTTCCCGAGCGCTATGACATGTCCTTCTTCAAACGAGGCTTGTGGAGAGCATTAAGCGGTACTCAGCGGCTTGGCGCTGCCCCTGGCATTGCTGAAGTCCATGGGCGACGGTAACCAGTCACCATCAGGTGGGCCGTGTGCTCGTCTGCCTACAAAGGTAATAAAAAAAAAATACGCCACGTGCACTACGCCCGTGGTAATTTCTACCGCAATGTTCACTACGCCAGTATGAATACGTACCGTCGTGTGCATTCAGCTCCGCGTTCTGTGCGACGGTGAGCATGTTCCATTGTCGGAGCACGCCGGACCCTCCGCCAATCCACAATAAACTATTACCGTCCCAGTACAGCGACCTGCCGATATCCGGTAACTTCTTCTGGTAGACCTGGTTGGAAATAAAACAGTGTTATACGTGAAAATTTCGTTACTCTGCACGTCACACAAAGCGAAACAAAATTGCAATAGCTGGTTTATAACAACATTAATGTTTCTTAATTATTTTTATTGCTTAGATGGGTGGATGGGCTCGCAGCGCACTTGGTGTTAAGTGGTTACCGGGGCCCATAGACATACACAAAGTAAATGCCGTCACCCACCTTGCGACATGAGTTCTAAGGTCTCAGTTCAGTACAACGGCTGCCCCACCCTTCGAACCGAAACGCATTACTGCTTCACGGCAGAAATAGGCGGGGTGATGGTACCTACCCGTGCGAACTCACAAGACATCCTATCACCAGTAATTACGCCAATCATAATTAATACGCTTTTATTAGCCTCAGACGTATATTGTATGTTAGTATGTAACGTAATATTTGAACATGCTTTTGACCCCCTTCAAAACGTCGGATTAACTCGAAGTTTGGTATACTTATTAAGAACCGATGACAATTCAATATTTAAAAATTGAAAAATTGAAAAAAATTGAAAAAAATATTGAAAAAATTTAAATAAAACTAAAAAATGAAAAATAATAGTTTAAAAAAACTAACAAAATACGCTTTTATAGAAAATCCAACTAAAAAATAGAAAATAAATATTAATAAATTTGAATTTAAAATAGTGTAAGAAAAATGATTTTATTGTAAAAAAAAGCGTGGGGTGCATGGTATAATAGCCGGCAAACTTCTTGAGCATTTGTTGACGTAGTGGGGGTAAGTTTGCGCATGGTACACTCACGCGCAAAAACATTATTTATTCTGCGTCATAATGCAATTAAATTATTAAAATCAACATATGTATTTTTTTATATATTTATTAGAACATCAACAAAAAATGTAGGTTAATAATTGTAATAATTTAATCTTGGGGTAAAATAGATATTCCTTCTATTAAGTCAAAACTAGAGCTGTTGCCAGGTCTTGGTTCAGTTGAAGCGAAGCTGGTATTTGTATAATTTTTTTTCGTTATCATAATCTTGACCATCATCATCATCACTGTTTTCATCACCCGAGTCGCTATCATCGTGATTAGTCGACATAGGGCTCATCGGTGTAGTTTACAACTCGGTCGATTCGGTCTTCTTTTTTGTCTATAATTAATTATTTTTTGAAGATATTCGATTCGTAGTAATCGAATGTTACTTTTTTCATTTACCAGCTTCCGATTATTTTCTGTTCTTTTTTTCCATCTGAAGCCTAGCTCTTTCATAATTCGTCGTAAGCTTCATTCCGAGCCATTAAAATTTATATCTTCTTTAAATTTTTCGAAGCCTTTCTACGGTACGGAGTTTCGCTGCTTGTTATGTAGTTATTATGATTACATCTTTTTATTACAGATTGAACGAAACTATCCATTCCGGTAACTTTCTTCTTCCCTGATCTTTTCTTACCCGGAGTCCGAAACACGGCGAGCAAGCCAGAGCCTTTAGCTTCCTTAATAATGCACCTAACAGTCCTCACTGATGGTTTTGTTACTTCCGAAGTCTGTTTTAATTTTTCCATATCATTCTTCCCCTGTTTTATAATGAAGCAATATACGTCGTACACAATTTTTCTACCCTTTCTTTTGAATACTACACCGGTTTGTCGCGGCATAGTGTATGTTTTATAAAAAATCAACAAACACTCAACAAATAGCAATGGCAACAAAGTCCACAAGTAATTGAGTCGTCTATTATCAAAGGCGGCAATCTGTACATTTGGACAAAAAAATGTTATTGATATGTCAATACAGATTGATTTGAATATAATCGTCTCCTTCAAAGAATACGGTTCAAAACCTGCATTAAATAAAGGTTAATAGTTAACCTGTTATTTATCTAAGATGTCGTTCCGAAGAGTTTTGTGACTGCCAATGGAATACAAAGTAAATAATTCGTTTTTCTGATTTACCAATCATTGTCCAAAAGTCAGATTGCCGCCTTTGATAATAGTCGACTCAATTATAACAAATAACTTAACGATTAATAACGATAGACTTTAATAATATAATAACTTTCCACTGTACGCAAGCGTACTTTTGGGAGCAAGCGGAATGAGGGCGCGGTGCGGGACGCAAGGTTCGACTGATCTACCAATAAAGCGCTCGATACGATTTCCCCTGCCGTCGCGCCTCACCCTCACCACCAAAGTGACCTAAAATTCGATTCTGCGCAGTCAAGGTCATTTGCTCAAGATGTTTGCCGGTTACTATATCAGTAGTTATATTTTATAAACAGATATGAGTAGAAGGGTTATTTTGATAATATCCTGTAAAACACCACACGCTTTTTTTTCCAATTATATCATTTTTTCTTACACTATTTATAATTCTATTAAAAAAAACCGCATATATTGATTGCGCGTAGGCAATTAAAAATAATTGAATTAAATTACTATATACAAACCGAATGCAGAACGCTGAGATCGGTAACAGTTATGTCTCGCTCCGTATTGGCCGTGACAATCCTATCTGCGGATAGTACGAAGCAAACGCAGGTGATCTCGGAAGGGTGAGCAGAGAACTTGGCAACCAGACCTTTATTATTCAAACTCCATATGAAAAGTTCACCGTCCGAAGTGCCCGTTATTATATCAACTTCGTGTCGACGTCGTCTGAAATAAAAATAAAAGTATCCCACCATTATTTGGTAATAAAAAATTGAGATGATTAAGAGGTTTTCCGGTTTATTTAACATTAGGTTATATGTCGTGTGAATTATAATAGATTTTGTGTGTTTATCGCTCGCTTGCAACCAAACCCGACCAAATGGGATTGGGCTAAATCCCATACTACATATACGTATTTTTTTTTTTTTTTTTTTTTTTTATTGCTTTGGGACATGGATCCAATAACGCCATTTCCACATTATACATCATAATATAAAAATATCTGTGTATGTACATCACATATACCACACTACTATAACTCTAACTACACACTGTCATCGGCGTTTTTCTATTTTAAAACGTTTAAAAACTAATTTCGTTATCATTCAGAAATGTGCTTAAAACACTTGGTGATTATTATAAATTTCAATAATGGTAGGTGATTTAGTATAATGTAGTAAAAAGGGCATAGTAGCTTAAAGCCGCGGCTTCACTCGCGTTAATAGAGAAAAATTAGCCCACTGAGTTTCTCGCCGGATCTTCTCAGTGGGTCGCGTTTCCGATCCGGTGGTAGATTCTGCGAAGCACGGCTCTTGCTACAACTCTCCGGTTGAGCCCCGTGAGCTCACCTACAAACGTTAGAGCTAAGCTGAAATAGCCTCTCAAGGCTATCAGCATAGGTAGGGAAAAAAAACATCACTTTTATAGTTTTTTTTCGATACATTATTACTTTCCAGAGAACTGGTGAGGGCGTAAGTGTGGGATCACCACGAGCAGATCTTCCACCGACTACTTTACGCTCAATAGTCGGGCGATACAAATGCTGTTATTCGGTGCTTATATATATAAAGCTTATTTTTTTTAAATCTTCTCTGTAAAACATCTTCGATATAGAAACGGTTACACTTGCATATGCACACAGTTACCTGTGAGTCAAACAGGTTATCTTTCCGTCGTGATCGAATTCCATTTTGAGACCTCGGAGTGCTTGTCCGGTCTTTCCAATATTACCCCACACACGGACAACGCCGTCGCAGCCGCCGGATATTAGAAGACGTTCTGAAATCATTGAATACTTGTGATTAACAGGATTTACCTAAAAGACATTACCTTAATTGACAAACAGATCAACAATGTAGCCTAAGCCAGGTAATCTAGAGCAGATTTATCTAAGTTTTCTAACATCTGCCCAATAGGAGTGAATATACGTGATTAAAAATATGAAGTTTTTTTTTTATTATTTACGATAAAACTTTTTTCATAAAAATACGATTTCTAAAGTATATTGATTTCGTTTATTCGTTTCTTGATTCGTTCTTCGTTTATTGATTATTTACCATAAAATTCAAGACGGATAGTATATTACGTGTAATATTTGATTTTAACAAACCAAAATTGATTAATATTCATTTTCCGTCTTGATAATAATAATCATGATCTTTATGTAGCATTGTAGCAGATAGATAGATTTCACGCGTCTTACGATGTCCTACCAATTAAAATAATCAACCGTCAATAGTTTAACCAATACATTTAAATTTTGACAAATAATATTCTCGTTGCAGCTTTTTTTTTATTGCTTAGATGGGTGTACGAGCTCACAGCCCACCTGGTGTTAAGTGGTTACGGGAGCCCATAGACATCTACAACGTAAATGCGCCACCCACCTTGAGTTATAAGTTCTAAGGTCTCAGTATAGTTACAACGGCTGCCCCACCCTTCAAACCGAAACGCATTACTGCTTCACGGCAAGAATAGGCAGGGTGGTGGTACCTACCCGTGCGGACTCACAAGAGGTCCTACCACCAGTAACTACGCAAATTATTTCATTTGTCGTACATATGATCGACCTCCGCGATGGGCAATAAGTAAAACAAACACGCTATTGTGTCGTATGTATAACTAACTCTTTTAGCAACATATTTTACATTTAGATTTCGGTTTTTTTTTTTGTTGGTATGGTCACCCTTATTAAATTCTATATACTAGAGGTCCCGCAGTAGTCGAAATTCGACTATAATTAATTGAAATTGTATAATAAGTTTGAACACTATTATGATTGTATTTTATACTTCTATAATCACAAATTTCGCCAAGGCTACACTATAAAAAAATATTAATAAAGACAAACAATATTTAATCTATTCTCAATTTGACAACAGACGTCAAGAACAAAAGTTTGACAATAAATAGTATGCATGTGTGTGTGCGTCAAATACATGGTATGTAGTGTGTGTAATGTTTTCTTTATTGATTTAATGTATTTTTTATGCATTATTTTAAAAAAAATATTAGCACTATGCACTTCTTCTCTATACTCTCTATAAGTGTGGAAAATTTCATACTCCTCCGTTCGCGCAATTTTCGTAAAAAGGGATACAAAGTTTTTGCTTCACGTATTAATATATAGATTATTTCATACCTTTATGCAGCCACGTGAGGCAACTGACAGAATCATCGTGAGCTCGAAAACTTTCCACAACTCGACCGTACTCCACGTCATATAGGTATCTGAAAAATAAAATAAACATTTTTATGAAGAATTTTCCAACTGTCAATATCTTATGAATTAAGCCCTATTTTAAAAAGCGGTTATACACTTATGGGCATGCGAAGAGCGTAGTTGTATGAATTGTTTTATTTTCTTAATTTACTTTTTATTTGTTAATTACTATTATATTAATATGCGAAATTGTACAAATGTAGGAAAATGAGACAAAACCACTGTATATAGCTACTCGGGTTGTTTAAAATAGTCTTGGTAAATAACCAACCACAGCTCTATTGAGACTATAATTTTGATTCCATCCCTATTTTGCTCATAGTCTCAAAATAATCAATTTCATCTCATTTCGCTTCATATCATTTTTCATTTTAAGAGAACACAAAACGTGGCTTAAGGTTCTCGTTACAAGGCAATAAAACCTCAAAAAAAAGATTAAAAAGCGTTCTCATCAACTCAAGAGCGCCTGGCTAATTTTCCACAGAGTACGACGGTAGGTAGCTCCAGTTCGTGCAACCTCACAAACCACCTTAAAATTTGAGATTTCATTACTTATGAAGTCTTTTGAGAAAAAAAAATTGAAGAGATACATAGACATATTAATATGCAAGAATTACATTGTTATTGATGTTTAAATAGACGCCAAAAATGAATGAAAATATTACAATTAATATGTTAGTAGAAACCCTGCCTAGTTCTACTGTGAAAGTCTATGCGTTCTGATTAAAAGGAAAATAACCCTTAGACAATTCAATTAAGAATTCGCCATGTCTCAAAGTGAGTTCCGGCATTCACGTTGTAGTGTCTATGAGTAGTTATACTCCTCTGACATGATCAGAGCCCTTGTTTATTTATTTCAGGATTAATAACGGAACCAGGATTTTTTTTTATTTTGTATAAAGTTTTGCAATACCATATAAACTTAGTATAACAGTTATACCAATATTTATATACCTGTATTAACTTTTTCTAATTTTTCAATATTACAAATTGAAACCTTACATTTCATTGTCCCACGCTCCAACGGCGACAACGTTATTATCAACCATCACGCAACAACTCAACGGCGTGGGCGACAGAGCCACGCTTCTAATCTGCTTCCTCTTCTCGGCATCATAAACCTTCAAAGTCCCGTCTCTTCCAACAGAAATAATCCTTTCCGATTGACGGACAACACACGTAACCGACTCTTTATGCAGCCTTATAACGTCAATGCACTCGATTCGATAGCTCCGGTTCATTTCGCAGCACATGGGCTTGGCGATCTGAGGCGAGATTCTTCGGACGTGCGGCTTCGTGAACAGTTGTTTCGGAACTTGACCAAACTCCATAATCTGCACTTCCAGAGCGTGTCTGTCGTTCATATCGTAAATGCATTCCAAATCGACCGAACCTTCGTAGCATACATGGTGGAATACTGCGTGAGGAAAATTATCAAATTAGTATTAACAATAACCGGAGATGACTAGTCACATACGATCCTCTAACCCGTAACTAAGACCACACTATTGATTAGAGGATTACTGGTGGCCTGAAAGCCTTTCCAGTTGCACCACGACAGGTGGGCGAGCAAAGGCTCAGCCAGGAGGGGTGGGATTTGCTAGCAGCTGCCCGAGCGCCTCCGAAGGAGACCTCAAGAGCAACTGCTTCGCGAATGAATCTACTACCACATCGGAATCGGGACCCGCTGAGAAGATCCGGCGAGAAACTCAGCAGTCTGATGAACGGATTAGCTTGCACGTCGAACTCTTTGCCGAGTTCGACGAGTGCGGTTACCGGGGTCCCTAAGCCTGCTCCTGGTGTTAGAGTTGAAGGCGTCTAATGCAAAAGTTATTGGATCTGATGAATCCGTAAGGACTAGGATGTCTAAGGCGTCAACGATGACTGGCTCCTGCGCAATCAGGACTCTGGGAGTAACCAGCCGCGGCAACGATAAGGCGATTATCATGACGCACACTAATGTTTGACTGATGTGGAATCTAGCCCACAACCCTCGGCCCACCAGTGAGTAAGGCGAACTATTGAACCACTGAATCAGTCATAATAGTAATATATTTACTTTTACTACTGTGTAACCTATATTTAAATACCCTAAATTCATTCACATTTGGAATGCTTTATAGCCTAAACCATATGATGAATATTAAGCACACAGCGTTGAAAGCAACAAAGTATCTAAGCACGAACACGAAATGTATTAATATTTAACAAATTGCAGATTTATTTCAAATTGATTAATAATCTGTGAAGTCAATTTTCACTTGACTACAAAATTGAATATAAATATATTCAATTTTATTATTTCGTTCAGCTTATGAAATATTTTTACGACTTTAATGTTTATTTTAATATGAACACGTCACAGTTTTCGTTAGAAATACTAAGACTAAGGACTAAAGCTTAAGTGCAACGTTATAATAAACTTTAGAAATACAAACCATTCTCAGCCTTAATAGCTTCTTCGCCTCTTTGTTTATAACCAAAAATCAAATCGATCCATAAATGTATGTGTTTGGACACATAATTAGACTCTAAAGCGTCTCTCAGCTTACATACGAAGTCTTCGGGAGATTTCGCCCATGGAGGTAGCGCTACGTCATTCACTTTGGTACCATCATGTCGGGAACCAAAGTCTATTTCGAATTTGTTTACCAGAAAATCCCCTTTCGCTTCGACATCATAAAATTCTGGAACTAATTCCTGTTAACAATCATCTTAAATATTTCAATGGAAAATTTGTCATCAGATTATTTTTTTTATATTCGATCAACAATAACAAAATATTAGAGATATATTATTATATACCTTATACCTTATATAAATTACATCCTTAGAAATGAGGTGTATCGTGAGGTGTGTAAAGAGTATCAAACATTATTCTAAACTTACACATATTTTACATATTTACCTTAAAATCAGACATATTTTTCAAACAGTTGTTGAACACATCTTTCATTGAATTGAACATTCTGTCGGGATGATCGAAACGTCCATTTTGGAGGCACAACATGTACTGCGGGTACTTACGAACCTAAAACAGTAATGAGGTATTAAATAGATAATAATCATAAATGCTCCTTAAGTTTTGATGACAATTTATCATATGGTATCTGCTAGGCTATTTACAATTAATGCTATACATTGATACAGTCAGCAGATCTATAGAATTTCCTCTGAAATTCATTGCTTCCACTACAATGCGTTCAGAACTTACCAAATAAAACAAAACAAGTCCGGGGGCTGAATAATGTGAACCATATAAAAATTTTGGGTCTGTCATCTCATGAAATCTTTCTTTCAGTTTCTCCAAACGATCAGGATTTAGTGCACCCATTGGTTTTGATAAATCCCGAAATGTTTCAGGCTTAGTAAAATCTATTGTTTCTGATGTGTAGTCAGCTATGATCCACGGAAACACAGGGTACTGTGTTAAATCATTTTTACTTCTATCAGCCATGCTGTCAACAATTTATAAGTAATTTTATAATTAACATTTAAAGCCATATATTTGAGTTTAAGCACAACTTTATGTATGTGTACAATGAAGCATTTTCTCAAGTATTTACAGTAGCAGGTTATTTAGCAATTTATTAATGATTTTAATAATTTTTTTTTGCTTACTTGCTACTTAAGCTTATGGTCTAGAGAGACTATGTTAGCGTCATCGGCCTAGTAGGTAAGATCACGGGGCTCAAGCCTGGCGATGTTGCTAACACGAACACGGATCGGAAACGCGACCCACTGAGAAGATTCGGCGAGAAACTCAGTGGGCTGTGTCTGTGGATTAATTTACTAGCCGAGCCCTTTGTCGAAAGCGACGGATTCGACGAGAACGATTACCGTTGCTTGGGGTACCTAAAAGCATCATTAGTAGACCAGGAGGATCCAAGACGACATGTTTTGGGCGACGTCGACCGTTTACCATTTGGTCTGCAGGATCGGCAATGTCGTTACCGGCAGCCACGATGAGAGGGGTCTCGTGTCATTCCGCTTTATCGAAATGGTGTTTTTAATAAAATATAAAAAAAAATGTTATTAAAATCTTACATTTTTAACTACTTGTTGAGTTGTTTTTCACTAGTGTTAATTAAAAACATAAAATGTATAATGATTATGGCGCATCTTACCAATTCAGATAAGTCAAATAATCATAGTTAGACACAACTCCATTTTGCCACTGCAATGTCATCTCTTCAACATGCACTTTCTCCAAACTGACATGAGGTGATTCCTCAAGTATCTGGTATATCCTATTTCGCTCATATTCATTTTCGAAAGTGAGGTATATGTGAGGAACTGAACTTTCTTCTGTACTGTATATTTCAAGGCCCTGAAAAAATTTAAAAACAGTTCTTTTGGATATGTAGTGACAAATTAGCATAAAGCAATTGAATTCTTCTATACAGTGAAAATTTTAAATACCAATACTAGAAACCAATAAAATGTTTTAAATGCAATTTAATGTTGTGCGAAAAGCAAACACATAGTTTACAAGCATAGCTTTAAAGTATCATCAATACTTCATCATCATTTAAGAGCCATGGTTGCATATGCAATATCAATTTGTAGATAATAAAAATCACAAGCATATTTTCAAATAGTTTGAAATATCAAATTTCATTTTTCATACAATTGCAAGTAAAAAGCTAGTCATTAATAAATAACACACAAAATGGATACATACAACTTGCCTTAGTAAAAAACGTCTCTTGTATATTCTCTTAAGGTTTTTAAATTTTATTTTCAGTATGGGGATCTGAAATAGAAAATTTTGAATACATTCAAATCAATGTGTCATATTAAATAAAATATGACACTGTAAAAATTTATACAGCAAGATTGTGGTTCAGTTGTTAGTGTCACTAAGCAACAGATAAATTTTTCATTTATTTTTAAAAGTAAATACATTTGACAAATTAGTCTTTATGACTCACACTCTCGATATTACTGAATGGCTGAAAATAAATAGTTGTGGGCGTCAATGCTAATTTTCCTTGATGTCTCACTAATGGAGATATTTTTTCAGCTTGTAGTTCACAAACTATTTCTTCAGTGAAATCATCCATCATAACCGGATCAAACTTCATCCTCATATACCTTGAATGTAATATTGTAGCCACCATACTGTTGTGTTCCGGAGCATGCAGTGTTGATGCTCTGAGCAACTGCTGCATTTGTCCTAAGCATTCCTCTGCTGATGCAAAATCGAAAAATATATAAAAATCTTTTTTTTCATAGAAAAATTTATATGGTGCTAGAATATTTTCTTCTAACATTTCAGCATATTGCTTCATCTTTATTACAATAACATTATTCCGTTCAGTTGAATCAACAAGACAAAGTTCAACACAGTCTCTAAATTGTAGTTTAATGAGGGGATATGTCCAATCTCTTGGTTCAAATAAAAGAGACTTAGAACACAACTTTAAGCGACCTTCTCTGAAATAGTCACTCTTCAGTGAATTCTGTTGAGTTATAATGCATGAATAGTCTTCGAAGTATATTTCTCCGGGCTCCAAAAGAAGCATTGAAAATCTGAAAAGGGGGAAAAAATTATATTAAGTGTGTTCTTCAAAACCACTAATGGTCTTTGTAGAATAGCTTACCTCGATTTATCCATTGTTCACTCTCGAGTTTCTTTTGGTTATTTACAGTAGTATCTTTTAAACTATGTAAATATGGCGACAGTAATACTACGTTTGAGTAATTATTGCCTAAATATAAATCAAAACAAAGGTTTGTTTTGTAATGTATCGGCTGGATTATATATTTATCAACGTTTTAGGTCCTGGCTTTTCAAGTTTAAAATATTCTCTCAGGTGGCTTGTGAATTCACTCTGAAATTCATTGGTTTCTTTGTTTTGTTTGTTGTTTTAATAAAATTGTTGTAGTAGTAGTTTTATTTTTCCAAATGGAAAGGCAAAGGTATCACATGCAAAGGTATCACATACAGCCTAAATTTTTTATATATATATATTTTTTTTTATGAAATATGAAGTTATGAAATGAAATGAAGCTGATTAATATGAAACATGGCATGGTATGAAATGAAATGAATTGAAATGAGATGATATGATATGGGATATTTTTATGAAAAATGATAATATGGAGTGAAATGAAATGAAGAATTTGAGACATTAATCAACTGGGATGAAATTAAATGAAATAAGATGAGATGATATGGGATCAAATAAAATCTCAGTAAATAGGTGGTCGTTTACTGAGATTTTTTCAGTGGACTTTTTGGAGGATCCCGAAAAGTTACGTCCAACGGCTTTATTTCATTTTCCCACATTTGTGCACTTTCACAGATTCTAAGCAGTTAGTAAACCACCGTTATTACACATTTAAACCTGAAGAAACACTAAATAGACAAAATAAAACAAATCGCACAACTTCACATCTGGCGTTCCCGCCAAAAGTCCTTGTTAGTGTAAATATAGCAGCAATAGATAGTTTCTTGTTTGATTCATACATTAGACAGGCAAAGGGAATTAAGCCTTTAAAACGAAATATTCTATAATAATAATCGAAGCCATAGCTGTTGTATGAAAAGTTAAATGGAAAGGAATGGTTTGAAATGAAGTCGAATTAATGAGAAGTGATAAAATAGATGTTTAGCGATATGAAATTAAACAACCTCTCAACAAAGTTGTAGAAGTTCACTAAGAGCTCAATGCACATTTTGGAACCACTGGAGAAGCCGCGATTTTGTTTCATTTTCCCATATTTGTGCTTTTTGATATATACTAAACGGGCAACAAACCAGCATTGTTATACGTGTAAACCTAAAGAAACGAACCAAATCAGTTCACACTTTGTGACCTCGTGTTCCAGTCAAAATTCCAACAATTCACAAAGCATGGATTAATTATTTCCTCACACCACTGACAAACATTTTAAAAAAAAGAAGTAACTAGTCACTAAGTATTTTAATACTATGACGATTCAACGTTTATAAACGACATCTACAATTGTTGGCCTCTGGGACACCATTAATCCTTCCCTCCTAAAAAAAGCAACTGGTGATAATTTCAATTACTATTGGTTTACTTAATATTCCATTTAATTTTATTTAATATTTATTTTAAATTACGGTAATATTTCTATACTACCAATTAAATTAAATAAAACAGAAATATACCACAATGTCAACTGTACCCTTTTTGGCATGACTTTGCTGCCAACGCCGCGATAAAAAAATTATAATTAAAGCGCGCCATTTTTGAGTAAAGATAAAAAATGCAAGACGACAAAAATGCAGTTTACCAAATGCGTTTTCCACAAAAGCTTTGGTATTTACTTAATCTAAGTACTGACGCAGTTCTCTGGGGTGGTACAGGAAAAACTATCTTGCTAAATTACCGTATCCTACACAATTATCTGCAATGTGACAATTCCGTTTTTAAAACTACAAATATTTCCAGTTTTGTGAGACAACTAAATCTGTACGGATTTCGTAAGGTCACATCTCATCTCCAGGATCCTTTGTGTAACTCGAGCAATCCCTACATGCATGAATACATCCATGACTTCTTCCAATTTGGTAGACCAGAGTTGCTGCATAAAATATCTAGAAAAGCATTAACTATGAAAAAGACTTTTAAAGCTAAGGTGTTAATGATAATCTATAATTAACTAAGATGACTCCAAATGCATCAGTTTTAAAGTTTATTTGTTACAATAGGAAACTAATGGATGCATGGATCATATTTTACAATACAGTAGTTTGACTCCTCTACAGAAAGCACGTCGTGCCTTACGTTTGGCTCTGAATAAGGCTGCAGAAGATATAATTTTGCACAATCCATCATATCCATCATGTAGTTTCAAGTTTGATTGTGATGGTGAGTTTCAATTGGCAGCAGTTACTTTAAAACATTTCAGTTTAGGAAGAATTGAATATTGGGTTACTTTTTAGATTCTCCAGATGATCTCTGTGAAGAAGAAGAGTCTGTTGAAATAGAATGGCCTGATATCCCTACTCCAAAAGAGGAGCCAGAAATCCTTCCTAAAACAGGTTTCATATCTATTTCCCTTATCTTACTCCTGAGTGTTTTCCACATTTATCCTTACCTATTTCCTTTCTTCAGAACATATGCAAAAGCAAATACAAGAGAATATGTCACACAACTTTGCAAATATAAGGTATGTTTAATGCAATATTTTATTATTATTAATACAATGATTATAATACTTCAGAATAGAAGGAACAAAAGTATGATTGTTTTTAATTATTTGTACAACACTAATTGCATTATATTATTAATAGTTTAGAACTAAAATTTCAGAAGTACGTCATCAAATGAAAGTTTTATGAATTTCAATGAAGACTCTTCTCAGAATGCAAATGATAATTTCTGTGGTCAGTTCTTGAGCATGCCAGAACTTGATCCAGAACCACTTCAAGAAAGGTCTAAGGCAAAAATATCTCCAGAGTTTTATTTTGAAAACAATAAGAAAGAAATTACTGTTAAAAGCTTGAATAGAATGGATAGTGAACAAAATTCACTAAATTGTGTTCTGCCCTCAGTTAGCAATGATCAAAATGATGATATTATCATTAATGAGGTATGTATTAACAGCTTTTCTTACTGAATCATACGAAAATTGCATATCAGTCACACTAGTTACTGCTAGTATTCTGTTAGAACTTCAAACCAGTATCTAGCAAGGCTCCACAGTATTAGAAAGAAATTAGAAGGAAAATCTCACTACAGCAGTCAATATCCAATATATTACTGAACCAGAAAAGTACTAATGGTAAACCACCTGTAATTTGTAGGCTGAATTGATAATGTGATGTTTCTGCTGTGAGAACAATAGATAATAGCTGTTACAGTTATTTCTGTCATATAGTTACAAGATTTCAAGTAAAACTGATTTACCCCTTCATATCACAAATGTATGCATTATGATGATGTATTATATGAGGAATGGACACACATTTTAAAATATAAAAATAAATCAACCTTTATGATGGTAACATGCTGTTTATGTAATCAATAATCATAAAAAATAATTTTTCATTTTCAGAGTAATCAACAGAGTCATTACAATGGAGAATGGGACCAGATGCTAAATGATTTTATAGTTAACAAAGGCTCCAGTCAAGAATGCAGTTCAGAACTAAAAGATATTTATTGTCAGATTTCAAAAACTATAGACTTATTGAATTCTTAAGGAAAATTCAAATATTAAGAATTCCTTATGCCATTTATTTTAATAAAAAAGTTACAATTTTTTAATTACTTCTTCTGTTTTTTCTTCTCTGCTTCCTCTTCTTTCTCTTTTTCAATGACAGATACATAGGAGTTTATAGTGTCTAAGTCAAGCATCTGCATTGGTTGACCTCTTCTCATTACAGCAATTTCTAGGTTCTTTTGGCCAGACTGTACTACTTCCAAGAGTGCTCTGATAGCCAACTGTAATTTAAAAATTAGAGGATTTAATTAATAATATAATTATTTAATTGTGGGTGTTATGTATGAAACAGAAAATAATGTAACAGCATCTAAATTAGTAATTTAGATTAATAAGTACTCATATTTTAACATTTTATTGTTGAAGTGTCATTGGATTTCTTTCACATGCAGCTTAATGGCAGTGATGAATTAGACTGAGCATCCTTTTTTAGACAAAAACTTTAAATATATTCAAAAATATTTGTGTGATGATGATATATTGAATTTCAAATTTAAGTTAATATTCAATTGTCTTTTTACTTTCTAAAGAAAATTACCTTGACAGCTCCATTCTCTGTAGCAACTTCATCAGCGGTGTAATTTTTCTCTAGAAACTCTCGTACTGTCTTTGCAGATCTACCAGTTGCATTAGCTTTCCATTCATAATATATACCAGAAGGTTCAGTTTGGAACAAGTGTGGTGAACCATCATAGTCGAATCCTCCTATCAAACACGAAATACCAAATGGTCGACGACCATTGCTCTGAGTATATTTCTGTTTGAGACCTGCTATGTATCTTGTAATATACTCCAATGTTACTGGATCCTCGACTGTTAACTTGTGTGATTGACATTCGATTTGTGCACGGTTTATTAATATACGAGCGTCTGCTGTCAATCCGGCAAATGCCATTACGACGTGATCATCCAAAAGACATATTTTCCTCACAGTTCGTTCTTCTTGCAATTTAGCAACCGATTTTTTCTCAACACCTAAGACTACCACATCGACTCCTCTAACTCCAACCTGAGAATCGAGATAGATTCAGAATTTGAAAATCCCTTACTCATCGTCAATAAACATAACCAAATTAATTGTACTTACTGCTGTTGACCCCTTTCTGACAGCTTCTTGAGCATATTCTACTTGTAATAAATGTCCATCAGGAGAAAATACTGTGATGGCTCTATCATATCGGGCAGACATGGTTAAAAATTGTTAATAATTTAAGCAGTAAGAAGTAATAGGTACAATGAATTAGAAACAAACTTCAGACTCGGCTTTCGTTCACAGAATATATATGAATGATTTTATGATTTACATGACAGCATTGACAGCACAGAGAATGTACATGAAATAAGCGTATAAACATCAAATTAATAAAGAGTAAGCCTTAATAGTAATAATTAACTAACAAACTTCATCAAAGTGTATCGCCTCCAGTGGATATGTAATTCTCGTATTTTGTAAAATTAAGACGTTAACTTGCCAAGAAAATAGTACCGTAAAATGGGGCGATTAGGGATTGAGAGGCGAATCGGGAAAAAACCGGGAAAATCTTTCGACACTCAATATTAGTTTTATATTCATTGCAAAATCTTCCATTTTTTGTAGTTTAATAGTAGAATGTTGAAAGTTTACAAAACAACTCTGAATATGCATGATAATAGCTGCTAACTTATAAAAAATCGCGTTTCAAATTAACTTTCTGTGGTGGTCATTATTTTAGTGCTAGAAACTTTGCTCTCTTTTATTTATTTGATAATAATAGAAGACGACTGTGATTTATAAACGTTATTTAGTGTTTGAACCATCATGTATATTAATGGTAAGTCTCAGTTGTTATTGGTTTTAATGCATTTGATAAAATAAAAATACATGTAAAAATCTGTTGTTTTTGGGTATATTGGGGACGTCTTAGGTACAAATAACAACGAAAAAGGGGTCAATTGGGATGAGAATACGTGAAATGAAAACGACCTAAGTATAAATAGGTACAGGTTTGTAGGGTTGTCTATGTAGTTATAACAATATTTTTTAAATTTGTTGGTAAAAATTTGGTTTATTCATGATGTTTTGTCTAGAACTTTTATTCAAAATTATCAATGTGTTATTTTATTGTTTGGTAAATATTTATATTATCAGTTACGTATTGTTTTCTATTTTTCGATATGCCTCGCGTGTACGTATCAAAGAGTGCAAAGCCTTATAAGAGACATTATCCCTTAATATTAAAAACAGCAATTGGGCAATTGCCTAATTGGGAATAAGTCTTTAGTTGAAATAGCTAAGCAATTTAATATAAGTAAGTCGATTTTGCACAGACATGTAATAAGAACAATGAAATCTCAAGGTGGACAAAAATGTCTAAGTAATACATAATAAAATATTTAATATTTGTTCAGAGTGTCAGTTTTGCAATGTCTTTTATTGATGATCACTTTGTTGGTTCAACTAAATAAATAAATAAATTAAAACCAAGTAGCAAATTTCTCAACCCTAGCAAATTTCTCATTTCGTCCCAATTAACCGCAATTTCTGGGTAAATAGGGATTACACCTATTTTTGCTTTTTTTGCTTAAACTGGAATGCTAGTTGCATAGTTTTAAATTGAACAACAAAGATGCCCCCAAGACTCAATCATTTTGATCCTGATATAGCATTATATACATCAACAACTACCTTAAAATTGGTCATAAAGTTGGAATTTGTCCCTAATCGCCCCATTTTACCGGTATTTAGTTGTGCAGATGTTGTAGTCCTAGGGTGCCCCGCTGAATAGGACCTTCACAAGTTGTCTCCACTTGACCCTGTCTTGTGCTTGCTCCTTGACATCACTCCATGTGGTCATGGTCATGCCAGCAGCCAGCTTTTTACTGGTGATAGGACCTCTTTTGAGTCCGCGCGGGTAGTTACCACCACCCTGCCTGTATCTGCCGTGAAACAGTAATGCGTTTCGATTTGAAGGATGAGGCAGCCGTTGTAACTATACTTGAGAACTGTATACCTTGGAACTTATATCTCAAGGTGGATGGTAACCAGGTCTTCTCCTGTCACGCGGTTTCCACTCAAACTCCGCTGCGCCGTAGAGTGTGTCCCAGTCCCATTTCCGATTAGTAATGTCTTGCGCGTTGGCGATTTGGTCACATTTAGTCCAGAGGTCTTTATTAACCATAAACCTGGAGAGTGACCAAGACACTCACGAACCAACTGTTAGTGTTTTTATTTAAGTGCTTGAGGTCGATACTCCGCATATTCTGGCCAGGTTTTATCTTTATTAATGTTATACATATAGTAGCGCTTAATCCACATGAACATGATCGTCTTGTCTATTTAGTCTGACATAAACCATAACGCAAAATATTCAATATTTTGAACTATACCGAAGGACTGAATACGAAATAAAATTTGCGGTCATTTAAGAGGAAGCCAAGGTAAAGGAAGACTTTTATGCAACTGGCCCACACCAGACTCAAGAAGCACAGACATTTACTGGTGATAGGACCTATGTTATTTCGCACGGGTAGGTACCACCACCCGGCCTGTTTCTGCCGTGAAGCAGTAATGCGTTTCGGCTTGAAGGATGGGGCAAGCGTTGTAACTATACTGAGACCTTAGAACTTTTATTTCAAGGTGGGTGGCGCATTTACGTTGTAAATGTCTATGAGCTCCAGTAAGCACTTTTCACCAGGTGGGCTGTGAGCTCGTCCACCCATCAAAGCAATAAAAAAAAATTTAATGACTTTAAAAGTATTTACATAGAGCCTTATACTTTAGGTAAATTGATACTTAATTTTTTTATGCCCGCCTATTACTAATTACCTCGAGAGATTATGCTAGTTTCACCGAACGAGCTCACGGGGCTCAGACTTGGAGACTGCCAACATCTGCCTTCGCAAGAGCACTGCTTCGTTGAATCAACCACCGGACCGAAATATATTATTTACGTTTAATTTGGTTCCATTTCACTTTTCTTGCAAGAGATGGTTTTCTTCAAAACATATTTTTGAATTATGTTTCTTTTGCTAATGTAATGGACGAATCAACAAAAAAGAAGTATTTGACAGATATTGACCATTGACATTTGATACTAAGACGATGGCGGCGAGCAAGTTTGATTTGTGGTTAATTGATAAATTGAGATCACTAAAAACAGATGAAAGCGTGTTCGGGTCTTATATATCTGGTATTTTGGAAGGCGAAGACACCGTCGATGAAAAGAGAGACGCTCTAGAAGATATTCTGTCTGAGATAGTTGTGAGTAAAAACCCGATGGAAAACACCCGTTCTTCGCTAGAATCCTTACTAAAATTTGTTACCGTTAAATTTCTCAGAAAAAAGACATCTCGATACACGTACAAGAAATACTTGAGAAGTGGGAGGAATGTCAACCGAAAAAAGAGGCTGCACAACCTGCAACAGATGTCGATAGCAAACTTGCCAAACTTCTCGAATCCCAGACACTGGCCACTACAACTCGACGAGAATACACAGACGAGGAAAAGAAAATACGAGAAGCGATCTTGTCTCTCAGTACAGTCAACTCTCTGACAATGAGGTAGTTTGAATATAAAATGAACTAGCATGGTATATACTGTTGTGTATTATTATGCGCATTATAAAAGTTTTGTCTGTTCTAATTTATATAACGCACATTTGATCATTAGGAGGATCAGGCGCAGGAAGAACAAAATGAGAGTCCAGATCTAGTCAAAAACACAAATGCATTAGATGTGGCTGCTGCTGCGAGGGAGCGGAGGGAACAAGCACGTTTAGATGCTCAGAAGAAGAAAGAAAAGGACAAAGAAGATAGGTTAGTTTTAATAACTACTAATCATATCACTGCAATATTTCCATTATTAGTCTAAGTAAAATATAGTATAATTTTAGTTTTCACAAGTCATACATAATTAAAAGCACTTTTACAGTTCAATTTCAAGTTTTTGACACATTATAAATAATAAAACCATAAAAGTATTTTTGATGGGTAAATTTTGTTTTCTAATCACAAAATTGTAATAGCTTATGACATCTTTCAGGGAAAAACAAAAACAGTTGAAAGAAGAAAAGAAAGAAAAGCGTAAAACACAGAAAGGGGAAAGGAAGAGGTAGCAAAATATATGTTAAGAATGAACCGAAAACATTTTTTTATTATGGATGAACCGTGCAACGTAATATCCTGATAATAAATTGATGATAGTTTTTTTCCACAAGTATTAATCAAATTTTGGAATTGGAATTTCAATTGTAATTGTTTTTATTATTTTGTTTTGATTTGATAGTTAAATTGATAAATTGAAGATTGACTGTTATTTAGCGTCAGGACATTATTGAAATATTAAGGTACTACTTTAAGGGCTGCTTAGCTATTCTTTGCATGACTATTTAGAATTGCAGAAAAATGTAGCCATTGTCCAGATAATTACAAAATGTCTACAAATGTCTACAAATGTTTAAATTATTAGTGTCATTATTAAAATGTTAATTATTGTCTTCTTGTGTCAGTGATCAAGTGATTGAACTTGATTATTTTTTGATTGATAATGAATGTCTTGAAATTTTATATAATCCTATGTTATAATCTTTAATATGTAAATTATACTAATTTAAAAATGAATATTGTTTACTGGTTTATTATTGTTACACACATTAGTGTGTCCTTTATGTGATTCAGTTTGAATTTAAGGACATGTTTGTTCTTAAATGAAAACACTAACAGCAATATAAAAAAGTTTCTACTAAAATGATTTTAAGAAACTGATATATTTCATAATTAATGAAGTGGCTTGGTTTACAGACTTTATTTTGTCTCAGCAGTGAACCCTCCCAACTTTTCTAGAAGACAACGTAATGTTATATTATTTTTTTATAGTCAATATTTTAAATATTTAATATATGTCGTTTCTAATAAAAAAAATATAAAATATTGCATGTATATTCATAGAAATTTTGAAAAATTATAAGAATATCACACTTTCTTATTACTTAAACATTGAACTTTCTAATTTGTGTTCAGAATTCTTCATATAAGTGTTTTTTTTATGAATCTTCTTCAATTACAATGAAATTGTGAGCACTACCACAATATAGCTGAGTAATAGTAAAATTAGATTCTATATTAAAAGGCACTAAAGTTGGTTTGCTTATATGCAGTTGAGTGGCATTAATCCCTGTGTTTGCATGTTCATTCCAACCCCAAGCCCAAATGGTATTATCTGTTGCTAAACACAGAGCATGTTCTGATCCTATTGCTACATCTTTTATGTGTCTTCCTTCTGTAAACAAAAATTCTGTGTATTGTATTGAAAAAAGTATTTCAATGTATTGTGACATTTATGTTCATAATGTAAGTCAATATTTATTCATAACATACCTGGTAATTTGATGTTTATTCTCTGCCCTGCAACCACTGTTTGGTCAGTTGCCAATTGTCCATAATTGTTTCGTCCCCAAGCAAGGAGTGTACCATCTTCCAACCATAATAATACATTTGACCAACCACTTAACAGTTTCTTAACATTTTGTCTAACATCAATATCAATTTTTTGAGGTGAGAAAATTTTGGGATATTTATCTTTTTGTAAAAGTAACTGACCATGTTTATTGTCACCCCATACATACAAAGCCTTTTCATCCGAGCTCCATGATACTGTGTGTCTTTGACCACATGCAACATGAGTTATTTTTCCTGTTATAACTACTTTCACAAACCTATCAGAAGATAGCTTATCACTGCCAAGGCCAAGTTGTCCGTGCTTCCCACAGCCAGTTATCCAGACCTCACCCTTAGAATTAACAATTGCTGTATGCCTCAAGCCCATAGACACTTCACAAGCATTTACTTGCAGTCTTATTGGCTTTATGCTATCAGGAAATTCATTTCGAGGCAGCCCTAGTTGTCCATAGTAGTTGGAACCCCAGACAAATAAAAAATTATCATCTGTGACACCACAACTGAAGTCCCATCCACAGGCAATATTTGTAAACACTATACCACTCAATCTCCATGTTCTTTCAAAGCTGTTTACTTCTTTTTCTGTTGCAGTTTGTAGGTTATTGTTCCACCCGCAAGAGTAAAGTTTACCTTCCGTGTCTAAAAGCAATGTATGTCCACCTCCACATGCTATTTGCTTAACTTTATTGCCATGAAAGTCAATGTTTATTTTAGTCGGCTTCTCGACTTGTTCATTAACATAACATAGGCCGAGCTGTCCGTGTGAATTGGCACCCTATATTGATTGAAAATTTTTGTATTTGTATTAAAATTGAGAGCATTAAAATAATTGAAATGTAGAATATTTACCCATGACCATAACATAATTTAGCGGATACGGTTTTTTTTAACATACTACTTTTCCTGTCCTATTTAGTTATAGAGTCATCGTGTTAGCAATACAATTGAGTAACTATAAATCCAACTCAGTTTGTCAAATAATTTCAATTTCCAATTATACTATTTATCACATCTACTGCAATGCAGTAATTTTTTTTACGGGATTTTGTGACCTGGTAACTAAGACCTTTAAGTCATGTCTTATTTTAATTTATTTTCTTATTTTTATGAAAAATTATGAAATGAAATGAAGATAAGATGATATGGGATGAAATATAATCTCAGTAAAATGGTGGTCATCTACTGAGACTTTTTCATTGGACTTTATGGAGGATCCCGAGAAGTGACGTCCAGCGGCTTTGTTTCATTTTCCCACATTTGTGCACTTTTACAGATATTAAACAGTTAATAAACCACCGTTATTATACATTTACACCTGAAAAAACACTAAATAGACAAAATAAAACAAATCGCACAACTTCACTCCTCGCGTTCCCGCCAAAAAGTCCGTCCATAGATTATACACTTAATATATTTAGTCCGTCCCATAGAGTTACTATACTTATAACTCCATGGTCCGTCCCCACTGGCTCAGTGAATTTGGACCCCTTTTTTTTGATTTTCGGATATATTTTTTTAATTATTTGTTCGTCGTTTGTTCCTTAATGTTATCTTTGTTTTTATCGCTCATATTAGTTTTGATCAATTATCGTTTGTTCGACGACTTTTGGTGATTGTTCGATCATAAAAACAATTAAATTCCCAATTATTAATTATTTTATATCTGCTAATAAGCAAACCATCACCTCGCGCCACCTTTTTTTGATTTTCGGATTTTTTTATTTTTAATTATTTGTTCGTCGTTTGTTCCTGCGTTGACTTTGTTTTGTTGGCATCGTAAGCAGACTAACATGTGGCCCACCCGATGTTATGCAGTCACTGTCACTGCGTAAATGAACTGAAGACGTGTAGCGTCCGTATAGTTTCTGATTGATCAGATAAAAAATAGAAAATATTACTTAATATTATTAAATTATGTATGGTCATCATTTTCTAAAAAAAATAGACCCAATGTTGATTCTTCGATTATTGCACCTTTAACTACTAGAAATATTGTATGAGATCTTTACCTCTTTATTCATTCATTTGTATCGGTATTTTTTTTGTTTTATTTCACACTATGAGCTTAATCTCATCGTTTGTTACGGAAGCTTTTGTCTGGATTCAGCGTTTGTATTCACAATACTTAACAAAGTGATTAATCGCGTCTCATCCACATCTGCTGAGTTAGAAACTTTCTGCTTGTTCGTGGCATTTGTTAGAAACCGAAGTTTGAGAAGTTTGTTTCGTAATTTCAAGATTAAGATACATTTAAATTAGGGATTATTTAGAAAGGAGCGCGTGGTCATAATTTTATACGTGCAAACATGAACGTGATCTTCAGCATTATATTTTATTAAAATGAATGGACACATCGACACTTGAATCTATTTAGTACCGAAGGGGAAAAACGTATCTCTTCAAAAATAATAGAATTGAGAAGAAAGTAGAATTATTTCGATCATTCAAACAATAAATAATAATAAAATAAAAACAAAATAAAATAAAAATCTTTTATTTCAAGACATCATAGTCTCATAGTGTGTTAGTATTACAAATAATTTAAGAACTATGTTAGTATTTAAATAAATCTATCAAATCAGTCTCTGGCAGCATCATCAAGCAGCATGTAGAACATGCAACTTGATAAAGCTACCCAGGGTCGGCCATCCAGTCTTGCTGCTAATACCCTCCTTCCTTCACACTCTTCCAAAACAATCCTTTTACACTAGCCCGTAATGCAAGACCCTTGAGCTCTAAATTGTAATAGGCATATAACTAGTTCCAAGCCTGGGAGTGAACTCACCTACTTGATACATGATTGAGACTTGAGGTTAAAGTATCAATCGAATTGTTTAACGTCCGTCTCGTCTATAATTTATTTCGTTTTTTTTAAAGCAAAATATAACAAAATTGTTCCTAAAATTTAATAGATACAACCTCATTTGCTTTTGAGTAGCAAGACTGGTATCAACCTGCGTTGAAAAGTTTCAATGAAAAAGTTTGTTCACCACGCCATAATGTTTATTCTTTTGAGAGGCAAAGTTTACACACGAGGCTTGCGACCCAGTAAGCCGCTTTGTGATACTTTCATCCGTAACTGAATCCAATAATGTACGCCGCCTACTCAAACTTCAACCGGTTATTTTTTAACCTGCAACAAATTTAAATTTCATGACACTAACGATACGGTGACACTACAGTGGAGTTTTTGTATGGTAACACTATATAGTTTTTCAAGTGGGAATTAGATTTTCAAATATATTAAGTGTATAATCTATGAATTAGATGGAGGTAATTGTTATACACTCAGATAATGTGAATATAACTTAAATTGAGTATTTTCTTCAATTTCACGAGTTGTAGATTTGATTATAACTATCTTTAAGTTTTAATCTCGCTTTTATTTGCAGATTAAAATACTTTACGGTTTTCTAGGTGGTAAGGATAATATTACTCATTGACGTTTGGATATTGTGCGTAATTAACGTCTTAATAATAAAAAAATCTTGAGAAAAAAAAACTAAATATCTAGAAAATAAAAAATAATAAATGTGAAACTAAACGATAAAGGTAGTTTTAATTATATATTAACCCAAACTGTCAGCTGAAACTCATTCAATAGAACAGCTTTGTGGTATTCATAGCGAATTAACTCAGAATTACAAACACGATAGGAAACATTCATCAAATGGACCTCTTATGAGTCCGCACGGGTAGGTACCACCACCCTGCCTATTTCTGCCGTGAATCAGTTATGCGTTTCGGATTGAAGGATGAGGCAGCCGTTGCAACTATACTTGAGACCTTAGAACTTATATCTCAAGGTGGATGGCGCATTTACGTTGTAGATGTCTATGGGCTCCAGTAACCACTTAACACCAGGTGGGCTGTGAGCTCGACCATCCATCTAACTAATAAAAAAAAGTTGTCTGAAATTGGCAGGGTGGTGTGGACTCACTAGACGCCCTACCACCAGTAATAATTAATTACGTAACAAATATTTTTGTGCCTTTGATTTTCTATACACGATGTTAAGCCTTCATCGTGGAAGTCAATCGTGAACATTTGTGAAATATGCATAATATTTGATTAGAAAAATTGGTACCTGCCTGCAGGATTCACCAGCCGTGGTGTTCTTTAGGTCACGACGAGTTTGATATTTACTAAATAGATTCCACTGACGTGTGTTTCCGAGCAATCAAACGCTTTTGTCATAATGACTATTGGCAACATAAATAGCATAGTAGCTAGTAAAGCTATATTTATAAATGGTCGTGGCAAAGCATTCTTTTATTTCTCTTTTATTTTTTGTGGTTTAGCTCACGGGCTCAACCTGAGAGAATTGCTATCACTGGTCCTAGCAAGAGCAATACTTCGCTGAATCTACCACCGGGTCGGAATCACGACCTACTGAGAAAGTTTGGCGAGAAACTCGAGTTGGTTATATTCTTATTTTATGATCAAGTGCCATTTCAGCTTTCATTTTTTAAGCTAGTTTGTGGCAACGGAACTCCGCATATAAATTCCTACGTCTTCTATTGTTTTCGAATTATAAGCTCTTTATGGAATCTAAAACAAATTAGCTTTACGTAGGGTTACCTCATTTGCATCCTTTAGAATATTTTCGTGTGACTGCCCCTTGAATCACGGCCACACGAGAGTTAAAAGAAATCTAACTTAATTCTGACTACATTATTTAGTTTAGATTTCCTTTAATTTTCTATAAAATCTTATATATAATAAATATATATTAATGAATTGCTGTTCGTTAGTCTCGCTAAAACTCGAGAACGGCTGGACCGATTTGGCTAATTTTGGTCTTGAATTATTTGTCGAAGTTCAGAGGAGGTTTAAAAGGTAGATAAATATGAAAATGCTCGGAATTAAATAAAAATAATAATTTTGTTTTTCCTTTGTTTGTTTTTTTTTTTTTTTTTTTTTTAGGTCGCTTTTTAACATCTCAGGTCATTAGCGACTACTATTGGCTATTTACATTACATAATACAGTAGATTACACCACTAGTTTATAAAAAATTTACATTTTCAAAAAATTTATGGTTTGCAGACATCCATCCTGATTTAGACAGTCTTTCAAGTTATTAGGAACTTTACATAGTCTTTTTTCATTGTCAAATGCTGTACACTCTACTAATAGATGCAAAACAGTAAGGTCGTGTCCACACTTGCATTTGTTTCTATCTGTTTTAGTGATTAAATGGATATGTGTCATATTTGTGTGCCCAATACGCAATCTGGTGATAACGACTTGGTCTTTTCTACTGGTGTATGAACTAGGAGATTTGTCAAAAATCGATTTTCTAATATTAAATAATGTTGTTGTGTTGTCTGTTTTCCAATAATGATCCCAATTCACTTTAATTTTACGTTTGAAATATTTTTGTAATTCCACTGGAGTTGATTTATTTATATGCCTTTCATTCTCATTAATTGCATTTCTCGCTTCACTATCTGCTTTTTCATTGCCAACTATCCCTTGATGACTCGGAACCCATATAATTTCGAATTTGTAGTTATTTTTAAGCATATTTATCATTTTTTGCTGGATTTCTTTAATGAGAGTGTTCGTATTATTTGTATTTTGTAACGCTGTCAAGCATGATTTTGAATCAGTATATATTACAAACTTATTTGTATTAGATTCACTATGTATCAACTCCAAAGCTTTGAGAATAGCTATCCCTTCACAACTAAAAATGGAATTAAAATCTCCTAGTTTATATCGATAACAATTATCACCAGACACTACTGAACATCCTGATTTTCCGTTCATAACTGACCCGTCAGTATAGAAAATCTTACAACCAGTATATCTACTATTAATTTCATAGAATGAGTTTTTATATAATATGTCTTGAGGAGTGTCGTCTTTTTTGTTTTTAGCTAGTTCAAGGTTAATGGGGAATTCAAAGTTTTCCCATGGACCACATGAGAGTAGTTTCTTAGTAAAGATTTTTTTGTTTTAAGTTTATTTTGTACAGAAGCATAGGTTTTTTATTTATCGATTGAGGCACTACGAAGTCTGCCGGG